TCTCTCTCGCAATTGTTTTTTGTTTTCTTGTTGCTTTTTGTTTCTCATCTTAGTCGTTCTTCGTGTCTGAATACCCAAACCTGTGGGGCTTGCATGCTTAACTGTGTATACACCTCTTGCATTGTCCACCTCAACAATCTGTATGCTCACACTAAAACACCTCCGGAACAAAAAAATGCTCTGTAGCAACCCCTCTTTGAAACCTCGCCCCACCCCTATACCAAACTACCCAATCTGCTTCATATCTAAGTCACTACCCCACTAGAGCGCCATAGCTTAAACCCCTCCTTAAACCCTTCGCCTCTTAAAACTTGGCAAAAAATAAATAAAAATTAGTTGTTGTATGCCGTGCGTGCAGGTACATCGACTGCAGACCATGGAAGACGGAAGACTTGGTTGGAAAACCAACAGAGAAAACGGTAAAATAATAATCGCCTGTCACTACCCAAACCGCCTGATGGACAGAGTAAAATTCAAAAGGATTTTTGAAAAAATCATACGAAAACACAACCCCAATGCGTTGCCCTTACTTAATAATCTGACATTCTCTTGGACATACAATTACCATATTGCCAAAACGCTATACAAACCTGCTGCAGTTTTTAGAGACTTCTCACTTACGGATTGGCTGAGCCAAAGGCAAAACAATTATTTTTGTCAACATCCCAGATACACCACCTACACTAACCCCCTTCCCGCTGAACTAACCCCTCTGGAGGAACCCGCCCACGTAATCACAATGGATTTAAACATTACTACCAACAAAAACCTCCAAAAGCTACTATGCTGTGGACTTAACCACATCCCCCCACAAACACCAAAACCAGCAGATATCCTAACAGCGGCAAGCCAAGTATCGGCAGACCTCAGGACCACTCTTGAAAGGAATGAAGTCCCCTTCCCCGACAGCACCCTATACGAAGCAAACAAAGAATTTCTTGACTATATACTCCAGACTACCACTAATTTCACACCACACAACGAAATCAACCTGCATGAACATGGAATCAGACACGAAATTGAATTCCTCACCAGACATTTCTACATTGTCGGTGCAGACAAGGCCCCGAATACACCAGTTCTAATATGTATTAACCTCATTAGGTATCTTGCCTTCCGCAGGCTCTCCAACCCAGATTTCGAATACTGCACTATCACAGCCAACGAGCTACTCACCTGCCTAGAAGAAGATCTCACTTCTACATTCCCCGACATACCGCTTGGGAAGAGATCTCTACCTTATCTCTTTGCCACCTACAAAAAACACAAAAACTCCTTCAGATGGCTGACTAATGCATCATACATTATCTCCTCCCCCCTTGCTGAACTTGCAGCGGCAATCCTCAAAACACTTATCAAAACAGTAAAAATACACTGCGGAAACATCACACAACAGACCCTCACACACAATGGACTAAAAGTACCCTACTGGTAGCCCATCGACCCAACTACAGACTATGTTTATAATATACCTAATCACATATCTGTTGTATTCTCTGCAGACATTACCCGGTGTTACGAAACCATACCTACGGACGACAGCCCCGACGGTCTATCCAATGCAATACAGTTCTTCACGAAGCTGGCATTCAAACAAGCAAAGCAAATACATGGAAAAACAGTACAACTAGCCTTCAAATTTCACTACAAAGGCGACCAGCTTACCCCATACTGTGATTGGTACAACAACCCGCCTAACAGATACCTATCACTAAATGAGAAAATGGTTATTGCAATCAATGACTGGCTAATCACTAATGCCTATACATCACTTGGCAAAAACATCTGAAAACAAATTCTCGGTATACCCATGGGTGTCAGCTGCTCACCTGTATGGTGTAATATCTACTTCTTCAAATACGAATATAAATTTACGATAAAGATAACCAACAAGGCTAATAGGCACCTACTGCACCTGTTCCAACACTTGTTTCGCTACTTTGACGAATTCCACATCCTTAATAACCCAAGAATACAAGAATTTCTAAACCCAGAGATCACGAGTCCTCGGAGTAAATACTTCCTCTACCCGCTTCACCTAATCACCCTCAATGAACAGACCACCGAAAAAATTCAATTCAACGGGTCAACCATTGACACCAAAACCAATTTTATAAATACTACCATTCAGATCACCAACATGCCTTCTGGACAATACAAAACATGCAAATACGATAAAAGAAAAAAATTAAATTTCCCTATCACTAGATTCATCCAAGCCCACTCCAACAGACCAATGCAGCAATCCCTCAACTTAGTAATACCCCAGATCATCACAATCATGATAGTCGAATCCGACGCCAAACATGCAGCGAATGAAATAAAACAGACCATCAACAACCTTGTACAAAACGGTTTCTCAAAACACATGCTGCTTGGCATCACCAAAAAAGTCTTGCAGCATCCTAACCGTTACCAGCCTTTCCGTTGCTGCCCGCAGACCACATTACAACATCTTAAGAACTACAATGACATATAACTACCCAAGATCGCACTATCTTTTTCCCTCTGTGTGTGTGCGTAAAGGCCAAACATAAATCAAAGGCCTGGTTCGGATGGAGGACCTACCCCGGGTGGGGTAGGTCCTTAATCCGGTATTTAAAACATACATGACCTACCCCACCCGTACCTCCATTACGAGGGAACGGGGAGGGACACACACACACAAACACACACACACACACACACACACACACACATACATGCATATCAATTTAATTATATATAGTCCATTTTTTTTCTTGCAAAATAATGGTAATTAAATTAATTAAAAACTTCAAAAATAAAAAGGTCTATCATTTTTATAAATAGAGGGAAAGAAGGAGGATATAAAAACAAGCAACAGTAAAAATCCTTTTTCTAAGGAAATATTGAATATTAATAAACACCACTGAGCTGCAAATATAAATAAAGCCAGGATACTTAAATTAACCACCACATACACACCCACTTATGCACTGCCCATCGTACAAACCTGATAAGCACAGCAATGGCCCGCTGATATAGGAACAATCCACCAACTACCTTGCCTATCCCAGGTAAACGGGTCACAATCCAACTACAACACGCACTTGCATCACATATAAACAAAAGGCGCATAAGGAAAGAAATAAGTTATGGGTGCATGACGCCCTGCCCCAGTTAAAAACCAAAAACTGCACATACTCGTACACCGGCTCTATGCCTCTGCCAAAGCACCCCTCAGCGGCCCACCGCTGATACTATACTGGGTAAACCAGGCCACACCCCATGGTCCCTGCGATTTTCGAAAACCAACACCACTGTACACTAGACTAAAGCACGCAGCATGGCCTCCACTAATTGAAACCCCCCAACCCCCCCCCCAAAAAAAAAATTGTTTACAGCAAGATGTCGTGCATCACTGATCTCGGCACCTAGCAATACGACAGACAAAAAGGACAAGGTGTCGCGCATCCGACACGATAAACGAAACGTCACGACCATATCAAGACAAAAACTCCACGATCCCTATTCCCTACACGGCGCTAGCACCACCATAGCCACACCAAATCTTAGCAATAAGGACAAACCTAGAAAAAACAAAAACTCGGACACTACGAAAAAATACACAAACTTTCTGACGGAGTTACATACGAAGGATACACTCCTCTATGCTGCGTACACTTGCTCAAGCATCACAAGATCACCCAACAGCCATTTCGTCAAAACGGAAATATTATATTTTTTGAACGAAATAAAAACTGACTTTTTTTGCCAAAATCCGGTCGGAATTTTTTTATCCTGGGGGTCCGGCGTTCCCAAAA